ATAAAATTGTTTAGTTATTTTTTTAACACCCTGTACATTATATTACTTTTCAGCATTTCATATGTTTATAATAGAGATGTGCTCGCGGGTTATGCGGGTTCTCAGGTCCCGCTTTTAAGTTTCAGTGATGTATATAAAGCCTATGGGAATACCGGTGCTTTGTAAGTCGCGATCATTAGCGACCTTGCTTATGTTTGAGTCTATTGATTGGGATAAGAGATAGGTCATATTTTGACGTAACTCCTCGATAACCTCCCATTGTCTGGCGTTGACCTCATGTTGTCTACTCAATAGGTTTGTCACGTTTTCTAAGGCTGTGCTCAATGTATGAATAGTCCACTCCTGCCGGCGCTCGCAGACTACCAGTGCTCGGCGACTGCACGGCTCGTCAAACCATTTGCCGTAATTATAGCTGAAAATGGATATCTGGACACACGATCGGGAATACCACTCTTCTTGAGGACTACCCTCAACCCAATTACTATACCCAGCGGTCATATCCTGTGTAATCCCTGTCCACAACTTATTGGTGATGTTATGGTAATGTGTGGTGAAGTTTATGACAAACTCCTGTTCCTCCACAGATGTAATGGTTAGCAGTGAAGCACCGGTATCTACGGACTGACACATTTGTTTAGCATTATCTACGCTAGCGATCCGTGGGATGACATAAAAGCACTTTTGCCTCTTATATGATATCCAATCGTTACATACATTTAAGTCCATGTTTGCGGTCAACATATCTATGAATTAAGGTTTGAATTACTTTTTAAATAATTATTATACAATTACTTATTATGTAATTACCTATTGATATGAAAGTGGTAATAGACATTACAATTAATATAGTTAAATTCATAATTGGGTATTTTTAATGCGAGTATTTATGATAATAAATTCAAGTTATTATTATTAATATTGAAAAGTTAATGACTATAAAAGAAAATTTAGTATTACTGTTATATTATATTTATTCACTATTTTAGTGATTTTATTTGATTTTACTATTTATTTTATGATTAGTAGATACGATACAGTGAGTGGATTTTAGTTTAATACAGTGTTATCTACAAATATTTAAATATAATTTCAATTACTGTTATTATTGATTACAGTAGTAATAAGTAAATGATTTTCTCTCTCTCTCTCTCACACACACACACACACACACACACAAATTTATCGTTTCGGTAGTTCTGACCCCCTTCTATACCATGGGGTGGGTCGGGTCCCGGATCATAAATATCTAGAGTTAAGGTGTAATAATTATTTGTTTATAATTTTGTCTAAAATATTTTGAAAACTACAAAATACTGATAATGGATGTTCTCGGTTTTGCAAATGGCAGATTGGTATTGCTAGGTGAATTGGCATGAATAACAAACATTTTACACAAAAATATAAAAATTTGATTGCTCCTGGTCACCGAAAAACACGAAAAACCATTTGGCTGTTTAATTTTTGATGAATACTAATTTTAATCATAAAATATTAAAACAATTTCAGTGGCTCATTGGTAATGTGTCGCACACTTAACATTTTGTACCCGGGTTCTATTCCACTTTCAGTTCAATTATTTTTTCCTTTATTTTTTGCTAAATTTGGATAAATTTAATGTTATTTTTAATTATTTTAATGTAGTATATAATTATTATTACAAAATATACAATTAAAGTACCAAAATATAATAACCAAGGTAATTTAAAGGTAATTTATATTATTGGTTTGTT